AATTTCTTGCTAATGTTTAGTCATAGACTTTTTTGCACATTGTTTCGGCCACTAGGTGAACATTGTCCACTCACTTAAAAAAAGTCATAGCACACCCCTCCTCATTAATTGCTCTTAATGGTTTCTAGGGTGTTACATACAGTTACCATGGTGACACAGATTGGTTGCCCACCCCATGCCTCTACGATGTTCTGGGGCTGTGATGTTGTTTGTTCATGTTGAAATATGGTTGCTAGGGTGCTCTAAATAGTTGCTAGGTTGTGGCCACAAAGTTACCATGGTGGTACTTACAGTCTGGTTGCCCGTATATTGCTGCCTTTTGTAGAACTGATTATAGCCGAATTAAACTAATTTTAAAATGGTAAACTTGCACAGTTATTGGTTTAAACTGAACAAACACTGAACTGACTTCAGCTGAATAATGACAATCTTGCTTTACAGCAGAATCTGAATTGTCTCCATAATTGAGTTTCCATAAAAGACATTTTCCTGTTTATTTCTGTGAAGCTGCTTTGATCTGTATTGTTTAAAGTGCTAAATAAATAATGGTTACTTACTATGACTATTTGGTTGCTAGAGTCATTTAAATGGTTGCTAGGGTGTATCTAGGTAGTTGATACTTCAAAAGAGTCCACCCTCATGTCTCTTTGTTGTTCTGTTTTCTAGAAATGGCCCATTCATTTTATTATACTGTTTCTCAGATGGTCTACTGGTTGCAAGGGCATTGCAAAAGACGGGGTGATATTTACAGACTGCTAGATAGCGATGCTACCACGTAAAAAACATCATATGGTATTCTTGATAAATCAATAACTGACCTTCTTTGTCATGAACAAATTTTTAAAACACAATATTTTAAAACCTTTATTATTTCTAAACTCTACAGCTGTGCAGTAAAATTCACTTTAAAGATTCACTTTTCATTCCAACCCTCTACATTGCGACTAAATCTTCACTCTGGGCGACTAAATGATGTCTAATATTTGTGGAAAATACAAAGCTTAAAGTGATCTAAATCTATTTTATGGAGATCTGAAAGAGTGACAGAGATGCAGAGTCTTAAAGAGAAGGTATGACAGAGTGATGTGTCTTCATATGAACAGGAAATAGAGAAGGATGAGTAGGGCATACTGAAACATGGAATTGAAAGTTAAAGAAGACCGGATGAAAGAGAGATTGACTAAATTGACAAAAAAAACCGAAAGGATTTCATAACGGAGCCTCTGAGTTGCTTGTGAATGTCAGCAGAAAAGAAAGAAAACAGGACTTTTGTGGACATTGTTGGCCATTGTGTCGTCTCTTGCCTTGAGCGCTGGGTTTTTAAGATGCTGTATGAAGTTTAAAGTTGTCAGCTTTAAATGTCATACGCACAATGACAAAAAAACAAAACACAAAGTGTGTCTCAAGATTTTTTTGCCTTTTCGCCATTCTGTCTATCGTCGTCCATCTGTTCGGTGTGGTCTGGCGCAGAGAGTTGCCTGTAGTTCGCTTAAGGGGCATTCACACTGACAGTGAATTCAAAGCGATTTAGGGTCATTCATTTTCAACTGGAGGGTCAGACTGTGATCCGTTGGATACAGCAGTTGAGAAGGAACAGTACAGGATATAATCTCTCACAAAAATGTGATTGTGGTACTTGAAGCTTGTATTGCGGAACTTATGTACGGGTCAGAGGATGTGATTAATTGTGTCATTTTTTTTCTTTGTAATTAACCACACAAAATGAACATTAAAGTCATAGCCCACATTGTTTTCATTCATTTTCAGAAACTGAGGGAAATTTAGTAATTTATTTTTCTTGATGCAAGTGCTTTACCACTTGCGAACCTGGGATAGCTTAAATTGCATTTATCCGATGTATTTCTACAATGCAAACAGTCTTGTTTTTAACAATGTAACATGTATTTGAACTCATTTATTGTTTTTTATTTAACATAAAATTTTCATTAGCTTTTTTGTATTTTAGTTTTTTTTGTATTCATTTTAATAGTACATTAATAGTCTGTCGCTTTTTTGTGATTTTAGTAAAAATTTGATTTTATGGTTTTCATATAGTTTCATTTTAGTTGTAGTTTTACCTTTTCCCACAGCACCACAAATTGTTCTGTCTGTTTGGTGAAACAATATTTTATCGGAAACTGCACTGTAGACACAAAAAACAAACAAACAATAGTATCAGTGTCAGAAAATTGAAAAAACACACCTACTGGCAGTGATTGTTCAATAAATGTGCCATTACTGCTATATTCAGCAGTAAATTGTAACTATCATCACTCTCTGCATCTCGGGGGCATTTATGATTCTGCAGTATGGACTAGCAACCCTCTACATTGCGAGTAAATCACTCGCATATGCGACTAAATCTTTACTCTGGGCAACTAAATGATGTCTAATATTAGCCAATGGCTAATAAATTCTCAGATTTTACTCGCCAGTGTGTGAGTTGGAGGCTAAGTATAAGTTTAGCACAGATATATTTTCACTCGCCGAACACTCTGACTGAGCGCTTCAGAGTTTCATCAAGCGATCTGTGCTATTTTTCAGTTCATATCAATGGATGTGCAGCGCACCTGTATTTGACATACCGTAAACTCTAGTGTGAAGGCACACGACTCAGCGTCACTTTGTCTCACACACATGCAGAGAGAGAGAAAGAATTGACGCACTACATGTAAACGATGTTCTTTGTTGTATTTTCCTGTCAAAATAACGGCATTCCTTTGGAATTCTTCAACTTTTAAGAACTAAGCTATTATCGTCCCTGTTTTGATTTCAGCAAATCAGTTCGAGCGAACCCACACAACCTGATTAATATTCATGAATCCAGCAGCTCATTAATCCTTAGTGCGATTGTTCTTATTAGTAGAATTCGTATCATTATCATTTTATCAATATTTTTGTTAGCTTTTTTCCCTGTTTTTTTTACAGAAACACTGAATGACCAAAAAAGCAGCACCACCAGTTCAGTTAAAATGTTCAGTTAAAACGATTAATATGCATTCATACATGGTTAAGTTTTAATTCTAATTACTAAAGGTCTATCATTAAATAATACTTGATTATCATATTATAATGCTAGACTGACTGATGTTAAGAGTGTACTTTCAGATATTTTAAATAACTGAGCCATTTTACAAACATATATATATATATGTGTGTGTGTGTGTGTGTGTGTGTTTGTATATCAGGCGAGTAAACTAAAAAGGGTTGCATTCATAAAGATGACATGAGAAAATGTGCAAAAAATGTCTCCTGGCGGAAAACAAAGACTTTTAAGATGAAATTGCCATGAAATTACCATTATAACCATTAGATGGCAGCAGAGGATCACTCATTAGCAGTTGCCATTTCCACTCCCTAGTTTTTTCACGTCTTGCTTTTGTATTTATTATGAAATGAGAAATTTTATTTATAACAAATTTTAGTACTTTTACTGTACTGAAGTATAAAGTATAGCAAGTGCAGGAAGTCAAAAAGTCTCATGTCATTTAAAAAAAATACATAAATAAGCCCAGACTCCAACAGCCTAGAAGGTTAAAATATTTAAATACTTAACTAGTTAACTACAAATTAAATATGTTAATTATTAATGGTATAACAATTAAATAATAATGCATTGAATATTTTGAAATATTTTAAGATTTAATTTAAAAACTACATTTATAAGTTTTATCTTTATCTGTAGAAGCTGTTAAATATATTCAGCCAACAGACTTGTTGCTTGCTGTAGTTTTGTTACTCTGAATTTAGTCTGAATCATTTAATACACAGCTCTATATTTGACATCGGCTCGTCAGATGTTTTGTTCCTCCGTTGCTTTATCACTGCCAATCATAGCAGTGACTCACATAATTTTCTACACTTGCGTTTGTTTGTCATTCCTGAAACTGTATACGTGGACATTTGGTCCTCTTAGACAAACAAAACTTTTCTTCAAATTGTGAATGGATTATGCAGAAAAACCGAGCAAAGGGCGCACCCCTTATAGCACAACTGATTTTGACAGTTGACCGGAAATGACTGAGCTGGCTTTATGTGTGCGGAAGTAACACTTTATTTATATGCAGGAAGTAACCATGCATATATGGCATATATGGTCAATTGCGTTCTCAATCATCTCATCTGCTTTTATGTAGTTTTATGTAGCATAACTTCACAAAGCTACAGCTAGACCATTCTATTTTTGCTTCAAATGCATTTTCTGTACAAGGTACATTTTCTGCTGGAAAAATGTGGACATGATATTTCTTTAAAAAATTCAAGCTAGTAAAGCGCACAGGAAAAGCCTTAGTTTGTTTATATGAAGAGGTTTCTTTTATTTGTATTATCCATTTATTTATTTGATTTAGAATTTGTTTAGAAATGTCACTTTATTTTTGTTATTTGACAAAATATATTTCAATTTCACAAAGAAATGTGCAACATTTTGTCTGGGAAATAATAAAAGAACACCTTTTAATTTTTAATTTGCCTTAAATCTCATTTTGTTAAAAATAAATAAAAAGATTGTGAGAAAATCATATCATGAAACAAGTATAGGAATCGTATTGCAACGTGAGTTGAGTGAATCGTTACATCCCTAACTGTGTATTATGTATAAGTATTATGGCATGACTCTCATTTATGTTTTCAGCCTCAGGCAAACAGTCATGGAGCTCAAACATTCTGTCATGTAATGACGTGCGGTAGCAAAATCATATGTGAACTGATGTCAACATCTTACATTTCTGTGAAGCAGCTTTAAATCAATGCATATTGTGAAAAGCACTGTACAACTAAAACTGACTTGACAGTATAACTTTACAAAATATAAAAATCTGTATAGAAATCTGTAAGAATATGTTTCATAATGAGAAACATCAAACTAACAAACACATAGGCTTAATACAGTATGTGTGCTATTATCTTAAGACACAGCACAACTATTCATATTATGAAAACTGAGACAAACTGTCTGCTGCTTTGTGTTTCTTGGTTGTAAGCTGTACCATTTACTGTACCTGACTGGAGCTCCACTTGCCCTCGTCAAATACATCTCCTAAAATGAAGACAATTTCTGGATTTAGAAGCCACAGAGATGTCTGGAATGCCCTTTCCATCTGCCATTCTCTGTGAAAAAACAGTTATAATATTCTTACTAAAATGCAGAGATGACAGTATTTAAAGTTACTTTAGAAATGGCTTTCTAATATTTCAAGTAAAAAATAAATAAATAAATAAAAAATAAAAAAATCTGCCGGTGAATGTGTCTGGAACATATATATCTGATCGGTTTATGATTAGTTGGCATGTACTAATCACTGTGGCAGTGGCACCGTTTAATGTCTAGGTAATTACAGTTCTGCCCTAAACAAAACTACTACAGCAGTACCATGGTACAGAGAATATATCAAAAACATCGTGCTACCATGGGACGACTTTTTGCTAGTGTACGATTTTGAGACACCAGATCCATACCTTCTGAATTTGTCGAGCCAGTGTCCTTTGATGGCCCCAAGTAAGTGAGTATCGGAGAGAAATAACGCCCGTAAAGGTAAATGTGAATCTACAGTCTCAATATGAGGCCATGAGCATCGCAGAATAACAGGATAATAAATCACATATTCACACAATACAAACACGCTGACAAACGTGAATATCAGCGACACAGCTAATTTACCACTCGATCCGTACATCGAGATCATTACACTATCCCGAGTTTTACATCAAAAGAACACGATACACGCGTTAAATCTGTTGGCAGAAGAAAATTCGTCTGTAACGTGCCTGAAGCAACATCCTCCTATAGGATTTTGAAATCCTCTCAGCGGAAGCAGCGACCTTGCCAAGATCAGTTTTGCTAAACACAGACAAACGTCACAGCTGTGCGCGTGTGTGCTGAACATCTGAGAGGACGCAGTCCAATTGATCAGATTCCCTGCGCGCTTGAAGAGTGCCATCCAGTGGTCAGTCATAATATCAAGACTTTTTCTTCTTCTTTATTATTTTAATATCAAGACTTTCCTTTACAGAGGTCCTTTTATGCCCATTTTTACATGATGTAATGTAAGTCTTAGGTGTCCCCAGAATGTGTTTGTGAAGTCTCAACTCCAAATTACGGTGACTGCAGAGACATGTTTGGTTCACTTAGTTTTGTCTTGGCCGCCCATGATATATATAGGTCATGATAACATCATTATGGGACCATGATATGATGTTATGGCCAGAAGTAATTTTATCGGGGTAACTACATCTTTTAGTCGTGGCCACGAGTTTAATGCGTAAAACCTGCATGACCATAACAATCTGGGATTATCAGAAATGAATGTTATTAATGAATTAACATGTTTTATTTTGAAATAAGAATGAAAGTGCGGATGTGACTAACTTACTAACTTAATCATTTTCATTTCAACTTTTATAAAAGACCGATCTATGTTTATATTGAATGCATTTATTATTTCAAATAATATATTTATTTGGGGTAAAATTGTACTTAAACACCATCATCCAGACCAATGGACCCTTTTCACAAGACTGTGATGACGCGTTTAACGGTCATCAGCATCGTAAATCCTCGAAAGTTTTTCTTTCTTTTTTTTTTTTCTTTTAATGTATGTACATTTATAATACTATTCTTTGTATTATATCACCTCTCTAAGTGCCATCTAAAATTTTCTTCTAAAATGGTTATTTTCTCAGGCTCCTATGTTTATGTTCAGTTATTTTACTTTAATGGGAAAGAAAAGAAACTATTCATTGCCATTAAAGTGAAATTACTGAACCTACACATAGGAGCCTGATAAAAAATGCTCATTTAAGAAGAAAATGTCAAACGGCACTTAGAGGCTTTTGCATCTGAACTCTTCATATGAAGCAGTAATCAATTTACAATATTTGAAAATGATATTTTATTTTAAAATGTGCACATTCACTCATTCGTATTAATAGTCGAAAACGCAAACGTCTCTTGTCACGTTCATTTATGATTTACATGAATCATGATCGCATATTTTCAATTCAAAATGGCGAAATTTCATAAAAAGTTGAGTTTGCATCACTAGATAGTCTATTACTGTTGGTCGCTGAACATTTCTATTGTAAAACAGTTTTCTAATACAGTACTACTGTACTTACATCTTTCTATGGAAGCCCGTTTCCGGCACAGTTGAGAAAAATATGATTCTGTAAGTCATAATAATGAGAAACTTTCTCATAATTACGACTTAGTATCTAGTTATATTGAGAAACTTTCTCGTAATAATGAGAAAATTTCTCGTAATAATGACTTAGTTTCACATAATAATTACAAACTTTCTCGTAATAATGAGAAAATTTCTCGTAATAACGACGTAGTTTCTCGTAATAATGAGAAACTTTCTCGTAATAATGACTTAGTTTCTCGTAATAATGAGAAACTTTCTCGAAATAATGACTTGATACACACACACAAAAAAAAAGACTTAATCGACTCATGTGCAACGCAAGAGTGACGGAACGCTTGCGACATCTGTTGGTCAAAGCCATGCAGGAACACAGCAAACATTGCTTTGTTCTGTAATCTAAAGTGTATAATGCTATAATCTGTCATTAAATAACGATTTCAGATCAATTATCTGCATGTAGTCTTTTGTTAATTTGTAGCACTTACCGAGTTACTCTGCCAGATAGTTATGGCTTCAAACATTCCAGACTAATATTTCAGTTAAAGCTGCAGTCCGTAAATTTTGCCACTTTGTCGCCATCTCTGTTTGAAAACCTGGAATTGCAGCTGTGTGCAGAATTATCTAGCTTGCGTGGGTTGTGAGTCCGCAGGGCTCCAGCACGGATGAATCTAACGTTCTGAAGAGTATGTGCGGCAGTCAGTCACCACACCAGTGTGGATATTTACTGTACTTCGCAATTACAGATTCTAACCTACGTCTAGGAATATGACAGAAAATAAAAAATTTCACCGTATATTGCCATCTGAACAAGTAAGTAACAAGTCTGCCACGTTTGTTCCGACCAACTGAGGAAAAAAGCATTACCATAAATCTGCTACCAATGCTGATTAAATCTAAAGATCGGTTAGCTCATATCACATCAAACCGTTCAAATTGTTATTATTGTTATACTTTATTCTCAAATAATTAATGTTAACAACATCAGCATTGGTGACTTTGAGTATAGTGTGTATTAGCCAGCCTGGTCTCATGTTTATACGTAGGTATTAATACGTAACATTTACAAGCACAAAACGTACATTTTTGTACATTTTTATTAATGCTAAAACGTACAATTTAAACGTATTTCAACATTTAAAACGTACAAATCGCTACATATTTTTAGCTAAAAAACGTACAAATATTTACGTATCTTTTATATCATTAAGATATTCGTATCAATGCATTTTTATCATTTTATCAATAAGCGATTTAGATTTTTAGACCCCTTAACCTACCTCCAAACCTAAACCTACCCATTTTTCAGCGAATATGCATCTTTATAATTTTATTAATACGCAATTTAGATTTTTAGACCCCTTAACCTACCCATTTTATAGCGAATATAAAAGGATATAAAACGCAAATGACCGAAATACGCAGGAAAATAACCATTTTAGTAACAATATAGCATTAAAATATTAATTATTAATTCCACTCCTACCTATAAACCTAAACATTTCTGTACAGTATAAAAAACATGACAGACAGATAAATGCAATTACAATCATTTATATATTACAAAAATGTCAAAAGCAGCACCAAATGTAATCCAAATGATGCGTTGCACCCGCAGTCCTCTCTGGCGGAATACAGTAGGTTTGTGTGATCCAGAGCAGAATTTATGTTGTTAATCGCTGAAAATATTATCCAGATAATTTTCCCCATCCACTCCGTGGCGTGAACTTCTGAAGATGCCCGCGCATCGTGTAGATTTCAATTTCTGTACAGTCTAATCTGTAATTGTCAAACCATTCGAATTTCATATTAAGAAATTATTTTAACCCAAAAAGCAAATTATGCTCCCTTCGAACTGCTTTTCTTTAAAATACAAATCTTTGTAATCCCAGGCTATCTGTAATCAGAAGCACATTTATAACTGGAGTATACTTTAATTTCATTCACATGTGTTTCATAAACACATAATCCTTTATAGATTACAATCCTCTGGCTGCTGTGAGAAAAGGCTATAAACGATCCGCCACCTGCAGGATCCTCACATGCGATAGCCTAGTAGCCGGGACAACTTCTTTATGTTTACAGACGTGACGTAATGACGCAGTGCCATGCTCGAATTTCCCGCGAAAACCTACCCGTACCACTCAAATTAGAAAACATTATTATAAACTAACCATTGTGAATCGGGCTAAAGTAAGACGATAGTTTTGAACACTGGCTGGTTATGTACTTGCTCAAATATTGATTTCGGATCATTTTTAACCAAAAAAAGTCACATACTGCAGCTTTAAGAAATTCAGGCATTTTATGAAGAAATGAAAGCCATTACACATATAAACTTAATTTATAGATGTGTATTTCGATGATTTATTAGTTTTATTAGCTGTCCCTTTCATGCATCACATGCATACAATGTTCATACAGTAAGCCATCTCATTTCAAAAGCACAAAGCATCGTTGTTCGTTACCACGGCAACCGCTTGGTCTTCAGAGTCCCACTTCTTGCAGGACAAACGCTTAACGTGAAAAATGCTTACCGTGGCTTGAAGTACAAAGACAGATTTAATCAAATTCAGTACACAACTTAATGATCATACATATTGTATATACAAGCATTCAGGTGGACCCAAAATACGAATGCAACACAAAACAGCAACGCTTATGGATTTTCTATAACTGTTTTCTATAGGAAAACGCTTAACCTGCAACTTTGGGTGTTGTGTTCAAATTCTGGGCTCTTATGCTTGCCTGTATGCATGATCAATAATATTGTATCCCGAATTTGTCATTGTACTTTAAGACACATTAAGCATTTTTTCACGTTCACATGTCCTGCAAGAAGTGGTGTGGGATGCTGAAGCATAGATACACTGTAAAAAAAATTAAGTAAAATTTACGGTAAAAAAACGGCAGGTGTGGTTGCCGGAATTGTACCGTAAAAGATACGGTAGCAATGTTTTAGGTTTTAGGGTTTTAACTTAAAGTTAGCTTTTAAATAATAACATATATAGAAGGTGCACAGTGTCATTCACACAGACACTAAAGCATTTTGTAGTTGGTTAGTGAAATTTAGTTATTTAATTACACAACATTTTATGTGAATAGTGTAGGCCTTCCTGCTATACTTCTTTTCATCTTTTTGTGATTGTTTTTTTATATTTTTTGTCAGATTTGTCAAGATCATCTGAAAAGGGTTCACCTGTGCCATATAAGTAATTGAATGTTATATTCAGATGTGTAAATATATGGTTTCTTTTAGGATATTGAAATCAGATGCAGCTAGGACATAATATATTAAGATTAATTTTGTTTTGTTTTTCAGTCAGGGTGTTGTGAGTGGTCAAGTAGGCTAAAATTAATATGATTCATTTTACTGACATTTTACATATTACATTTTATATACTCTATTACTCAAATAGCTGTAAACTGTACCATTTCACAGGCTGTGATACTTGCCAGTGCGTGCTTTGCAAAGTACTGACCTTGCAGGGTGCCCAAACTTTTATAGGCATTTTTCTTTTTTTGTCATTTTTAAACTGTAAAATTGTATTAGTTTAAATTTAAATCTACAACAAAAAGTCTGTAAAAAGTAAAAAAAAAAATAAATAAATAATGGTTTGTCTGAATCATTTCTGAAATTACTG